TTATATTTGAAAGCCGACGCAAAGAGATTATTCTAGAAATATTTTAATAAATTAGGTGTAAAATTACTTACAAATGAAATGTGATGCCATCCATAGCATCGGAGCGTCTATCTCATGAAGCAAATACATTCAGACAAAGAAATTTTAATCGCCAAAATAATATTTTATAGTTTTCATAATAATTTTGGGAACAAGCCGCTATCTATCGTCAAGTAAACCTCATAAAAAATAACAAAAAGACAGGGCCGCAATTAGAAATCAATTATTTTACTCAATAACCCAACATTCAATATTAAAATGAAGGAAATTGTACTTGGCTGATTTTTACGAAATGTTTAAGTTTTATTTAAGTGACATTCTATATGAAAAGAATCACTTAAATACAATTTAAATATGTTTATCATTTCGTGAAAGTCAACCTTCAAGAAATATTTATTTTATCCATACAATAAAGTCTCTTTGAAACTAAATATTCTATGTTCAATATTAAGTAGGATATTTAATTTGGAACTAAATATCCTACTTATCTCACTAATATTATAAAGGCGAAATTTTGTGTGTTCTTTCTGTCTCCTTGAGCTTATTCCACACTAAGTATGTGTAATTTTTTCACGCAGAAACGGCTGGACTATTATTTATGTGTGGGTTATACTACTTAATATCTCTGAGGGAGAACAAATAATAGAGAAATTATTATAATTAATATAATTTTATTTACAAATCAATTAAAATATAAATATTTTATTCCAAATTAGGCATCCGAATACACTTTTTGAATGTCAATCTAAGAACATTAAATTGTATTTAAGTGATTCTTTGCATATAGAATGTCACTTAAATATAACTTAAACATTTCATAAAAATCAGCATAAGTACAATTTCCTGCATTTAATATTAAAAGTTGGATTACAGGGAAAATTAATTGAATTCTAATTAGGGCCCTGTCTTTTTCTCATTTTTATGAGGTTTACTTGACGAGAATACGGCCTGTTCTCAAAATGATTATTAACTATAAAAATAATATTTTGCGATTAAAATTTCTTTGTCTGAATGCAAAACAAATTTCAGCACCTTCGTATGATTATTTTACCATTACTGAGCTCTACGGACCTTTATATTTTTAGTTCACATGACACAAAGTCTCGCTATCTAGTGTCGAATATATTTAATTATATTTGAAAGCCGACGCAAAGAGATTTTTCTAGAACTATTTTAATAAATTAGGTGTAAAATTATTTACAAATGAAATGTGATGCCATCCATAACATCAGAGCGTCTATATGAGTAGTTCTTACACAATAAAACACAACACTTCATCCTTTTCTTTTTAATACTACGAAAATACACGGATTTGCGATTTTTTCAACGCATAAGCGCACAGGACGAATGCTGACAGTATACTAACTAAAGCCACGCCCACTATGATGACGTCAGGACCTACTTAGAATCACAGTGCACAGTTGCTTATGCCGTCTCCCCTTTGTATTAGCTTCATGATGGCATCCATCAGGGTGCTCGGTGCTCGTCATCGAGCTGCTCAGCTCGCTGTACTGACATGCCGATATTCGACTTGTAATGTGCTTAAATCTAGCAAATGTCAGTCGCCACCTTTATTCGTTATAGAAATGTTCGGATATAATGAACTTAGGGTTAGAAGAGAAATTATTTTGGTTTCATGTATTTATAAGATAACTCATAGGATATATTTTTTGTGACATACTAAAGTGATATAACATGTATGTCCCGATCGGATACCTAGGAAGACGGCGACGGACATAACTGTTGGCCGTGCCAAACGGAACTCCTGACACGTGCTCTCCTCTGCACTCTTAATCATAAATAAATATACTCTTATTCGGATAGCCAGAGAAATATAGGTACTTGTTTGTTATGTATCTAATTTAAAAGGTAAATGCGTAATATATTAAATTTTCTACTCGTATTCAGCTCCATCTAGTGGGGGGACGCCCTACACTTCGTCCGCCGGTACGAGAACTTTTTTCCCCATCGGTTGTCGGTTCTTCGAGCTTAAAGCTTTTAACCAGGCCTTGTCAACTAACGGTATGGGACCTATGCGACATTAATAACAGTAGCGCCATCGAATAAATTCGCAGAGAACTACGTCGGCTTCGCAGATCGATGTAGTACTTGGTAAACCGCGTAGATGGCGCTGTAACAAAATAATTTATTTGGCCATTTGTTTTACCAGATTTCTACCACAAAATTGCCAAGTTATTTGAAAACCTCTAAAATGAGAGTATTCACCAATTGATTCTCTATTCATATAGATAATTCAATCATATAGATCTATTGATTTTAAAATACTATGTTGCTTTTTTTAATTTGTTATTTTGGATTTTCTTTCGATTTTGTTAATTTGGGAATTATCTGTTTTCCAAAAAAAAAAAAAGAATAGAATAGTTTTTGTTAAATTAGTGTGAATAGAATAGTTTGTGTTATACCCATGAAGCTTTGTATTAGCTTCATGGTTATACCATTCATAGTCCATAGCTAACCCATTATAGAAGGGGTGGAACTCTCTAGCATCCTATCAAAATTAAAGTTTTGAAGAATCTTTTCATTTCAAACTTCCCAATGTGGAGGTTTTCGATGTTTGTTAATTTAAAAAAAAAAAGAGAATTTACAGAATGAGCTTCAGCTGCTTCTGGAGCCTCCATATATCTAAACTAGCAAGCAGACTTAGTTCTGTAGCATATGCTGTAAAAAAGGTAAGAAATCTTACCAGTGTTGAAACAGCTAAACTAGTTTACTTTAGCTATTTCCATAGCATAATGTCGTATGGTATTTTGCTATGGGGACATGCAGCTGACACTGAAATTATATTTGTTTTAGAGAAAATGGCTATAAGAGCAATTTATAATTTAAAGCCTAAAGAGTCGCTGCGATAAATATTTAAGAAAATTAATATATTGATTTTGACCTCTCAATACATTTATGAAAATGTAATGTACGTACACAAAAATAAAAGTAGTTTTAGAAACAAACATAAGTGATATTCATTCTGTAAATACTAGGAACAGACACAAGCTGGTAGTACCAGTTACTCGACTCCACCGAGTCAGTAATTCATTCTTGGGGCAATTTATACGCTTTTACAACAAAATTCCAGAAAATATATAAAATTTGACAACGTTCAAAAACTATTAAACTAAGTTTGTATAAAAAGGGTTATTTGGGGTTAATATAATGTTAAGGAATTTATGGATGATAATAACCTTTGGGAATGAGGTGATCGCTACCAAGCTATTTTTAATTTGTTGTGTATTTAAATTGAGTATATATTATTTTCTATGTGAAAATTGCAAGAAGTTTGCATAATTTAAACATTGTTTTATAAAATATTAAATTACGCCGTAAACTGTAATTCCAATATACTAACTTAAATGAATTTAAAACAATTTAATAGCTAATTATATTTGGTGTTTTTCTATATCTTTTGTTATGAATAAATGAATTTGTAAGCATAAATCTTATTTTACTATAACTTGTATTCCTCGTCAGAAATACATAACTGTGATCGGTTCCGGTTTTTCCAAGATTTATTCTATTAGGAAATATGTTTCTAAAATAATTAATTATTATAATTCTAGAGATGTTTATAGAAATAATGTTTAATTATAGAAACATATTTTTTAATAGAATAAATCTTGGAAAAACCAGATCGATAAAAATAATTTCTGCGATTCGAATTTTCCCGCTCAAATTTCTTATGTGCTCCAACGGTAGATGGCGCTGAATTTTATTCCTATCAATTTTATATGGAGTTAACATTCTTCTCCGCTAGGAGTAAAGTATTCTGTGCTTTTAAGTCAGCAGTATCTTTCTGATAACAGCTCAAAAAAAAAAGGTTGCTAATCCGCCTGTCAAGCCCGACAACTACAGCACATAGTTTTAATAGGTTTGCTTTTAAATAAAACAATATTTTAATACATATATTTATTGGCAGAAAGTTTACAGGATATAAAGTGATAGCCTGCATACCTGCAAATAAAAAGAAAATTGTGTAAGGCCAAAAACTCACTATAGTACACAAACTACATAATTTATACTAATGTTTCTCGCCGGATTGAGGTTTATTGAAAATTTTGTTAACAATAACCTCACCTAGACAAGATATTAATATCTCCAAATTCTTTATCTCATTACAAACTATTAATAACAAGTTAAAAACCGAATTTGGATACTTGACAATTGATAAATATAATATAATAAGGATAATATAAAAAAAAAAAAAAAAACAGAAAACTAATTTGTCGGCTCGATCGGGGAAGGACCACCGCTCTCACAGAATACCAGCGTAAAATAGCAGCTTAATGCTGCTGTGTTTCGTATGGTGAGTGTAGATAACCGGCGGCCCTTTTTACTGGAAAAGAGGCATTCTATGTTAGTCCTCACGGCTGACAACGCATCTGCATTTTAATTCGCAAACGAAGATAGATATAGATGTCTACGGGCCACAAGCAACCACTTACCATCAGGTGGACTGTGTGCTCGTTTGTCACCCTTATTCTAAAAAAAAACCAGAAAAGCAGAATTAATTTTTTTTAAAATGCATTTAATTTACCTTTTCATAACTGAAGATAGTGGCAGAACAACTAGAAACCTGAAAGCAAATGAAAATAAATATAATACAAAAAATATGACAAACAGAAAATAAAAATAAAAACAACTTTTTCAGCCATCCAAGGAAGTTGTAAATGAGTGGTAATCATGGTTTGCGCATTTCATAAAGCATTTTATCATCATTATGAATTTAATAATTAAGAAAAACAAAACGTCTAGATAAATTGTATTCCTACCTTTCTCACTGCTGGAAATATTCACATGTTTTGCATTCTGTAACAGAACAATTAAAAAAAATTAAATGCTAAAATTATAATTATAAATTAGTTGTCAGATACATAAATACTTACGTTTTAATAAGTTTCGAGGGTAGATTTATTAAAATAGAGAATTAAATTAAAAACAAAAACCTTATTATGGTATTTGTAAAGCTGTTTATTTCCAACCCCAGACTTTCTATCTGGTAGAATAAAAGGAAAAAAGTCCGAGATATGGTTATAAATATTTTTATCGCTTGCGGTGTAATTGCAAGGTGTTTTTGCGTATCCAAGCAGCACGACGTGAGCCACCCTTGGTTTGGGAGTATCTGTGACCCTTGCCAAGACCTCGTGAACTTCTGCCGGCTGAAGTGAGACCACGCATTTCACGGTGTTTGTGAACTGGGTTCACTATCCAGTTGATCTTCGGATCACGGCGGATAGCCTGAAACAATGATGATGTTAGGAAACTCGAAACTGAATAGGTTTATTAAATATAAATAAATATTTGAATCAGATTAAACGGTAGGTGAGGATACATCAAAACCTTTCAGATTGGTGCATGACAAAGTTGTTCATCATAAGTTACAAAAAATATGTACACATGAAGACAGTTTACTTCATTGTTTTCTCAAAAGAATAACTTCAAAAGTTATGGTTAATGTAATTAAAACAATGAACAAACAACATAATTTACCTTGTGTGATGGATCAACAAGGATTACTTCATAATATTTGTAGGATGAGTCTTGAGCAACCCAATATGAGTTCAATACCCTTAAGCCACCACAACGGCGTCCTACACGCTCCTGTAGACAAATATTGAAAATATGAATAAGAAAAACAAATATAAACATTCCACAATGATGTAAAGTGGGAATACAATCATCCAATTTTCAGAGAGCTTAATAAACCTTCACTCAACTCACTTTGGTGAGTGCTTCTATCTAGCATTGACTACCCCGTTATCATCCTAAGTGGTTGTAAGAGGTGACAGAGGGAAACTGAAACAGAAGATGGGCAGCAGCATCTCCCTGATAACAGCTTAAAATAATTAAAAAAGGCTGTTGTTGCAGTGTTGTTAATCCTCCTGTCAAGCTCGGCAACTACATCAAAAAATACCCTATGAGGAAAATTTTGATCAGCAATGGACTTTTTATAGCCTGAATGAATACTACATAATAGGACTAAGGTATGCCCTTTTATGGGAAAAAACATGATAAAACAAGGATGTTACAAAGTGCATGTGAAATTTATAGAGCTCAATAGCAACACCTAATTAAAAACTCCCAATGTTTAAAAATACTGATGTCACTGCTCCAGAGCATTCAAAACGTTCTTGCTGGATATTTATTTATTGTTTAACTCAGATTTTCGGCAATTCTTTTTAGCATTTAAGCTAAGCATTGCTATTAACTTTTTTCTGTTGTTGTCATTTAGGTATATTATTTAAGTTAGTGCTCTTAGGAAGGTGGTTTGAACCACAATCTTTAAAATAAATGAAATGGTCTAGGTGCTCTGCAAATTGGATAGTGTAATAATCTCCTAAGATATTGTAAAATATATGAACATGATTATACAAGCATGTATAGAAGGGAATAATTTTTATCCATATAGATTACAAGAATACTTCATTATTACAGACATTTATACCACTGGTTTAAAAACACCTTCATTCTGGAAGAACCAAATAGAAACCTCATTACCAGGAATAATTATCAATCATGTGTTCTTCTTTAATATGTAGTATTATATTTTTAAACAATATTTGTAACAGACTGCCTAAGGACTACTCCAATAGCAGCCCTAGAGGCCCCGCTGAAACAAGTTAGTTTCATCAAGTCAGTAACTTTCAAGGGTTCACTGAAATTATTTGAAGAGATATCATATACCTGCCCTCACGCAAAATACGTAATTCAGACGAAGTTGCGGAATATAGCCCATAGCAAACTAGACTAAACAAAACCAACTACTGTTTAAAAATAAATTAGCAGGGAGAATTGTGACATTTTTTTTTAATTTTAATCATCCAAAATTAAATATTTCATAAACATTAATTAGCTCTAAGCTCAAGAGATCGAAAGTAAATTTGATTAAAAGACAAATTATAAATTTTTGATATATCTTGATAGAACCAAAAAAAAGAACGTAGTTTTAAGATTGGAAATAAGTCCTGAAACTGAAACACTTTTGCAATTGCATATGCCCTAATTTGAATCTCGGATCACAGCATGATCAGCGGTCACGCTTATATTTATTATTTTAGCCCATATGGAGTCCTAGTACCGAGAATATGAGTAATCAATAAATAATTAATGGAGTCCATTTGCCCTTCATACACTTAACTGCTGCTAAACTAACAACTCACACACACCATATCAACTAATCATTCGTTTTTTTTTTTATATAAAAATACAATGTAATATATAAAAATCAATTGCTGTCTGTTATTCTCTGGTTCTGGTTGGTAAAACTCAAAAATGATTTTGATGAAATTTTTTAAGTGCATTTGAGTGGGTCCCTTGATGGTTTAGGTTCACAATTGGCACTGTCGTCGAGCCCGAGATACAGAAATCAACCGTACAAAGGCAGATCACTAGTATATAATAAGTTACTGAACTTTTCCAGAATTTGTCCTTTACACAGGAATTTTATAAAGTGCTAAGATTTGACTAAAGCACGGCTACAATAGAAAATGTATCTGCAATCTGCTTAATAATAAAATTTAAAGAATTAAATTAAATATAGTTACCTCAGCAATTGACTGCAAATTACGTGTGGGCTTTAGTTGATTAACACCGTGGCTCTTGGGTTTACCATAAGTAGCACCTTTAGGAACAGGGCGCTTGCGTCCACCTCGGCGCACACGAATTCGGAAGATCACATAACCTAAAATAATGCAAAAAATATACTCATTTGTTGTCGCAACAAAACCACGTGATGAATAGTCGCTTCAATTTTCACTAACCTTGCTTAGCACGGTATCCGAGTCTCCTGGCTTTATCTGGCCTTGTTGGCCTGGGAGCACGATGCATCCGTGTTAACTGGCGATACTGCCATACTCTGACGCGCAAAAGAAAACGCATAACATCGCTCAATTTCTTGCGGTACAACTCCTGAATATATCTGTACGCACCCATCTTGGGAAGCCTGTGGCAGACCTAGCAACAAAATCAATTATAATTGATCAGAAGTCACATCATCGGTCTGGCCACAAATAGAGCGATTTGGGACCCGCCAAGATTGACATGCTGACTAATAAAACTGCAATAATATCAACAAAATATACATCACTTTACTAAAATAAATAAACAAGAATCACAGTAATATAATATTTCAACAAAAACGGGGACAATTTTCAGAAAAATTAACAATTAACTATTGATGTAAAGAGATACAATTATCACATACGTCTCACGTTCCCCACAGGTAATCCGGAAAAGAGAAATATTTTGACTAGTGGATGGACTGGTCGCAGTTGGCACCAAAGCACCAAAGAGTATATCATCAGTGTGACCATCTTTAAAATACAGATCCTGCCTTAGTTTGTTAAAAAACCTGCCAAATCCTGCCAAAGTTTGTAATGAAAATTACCTAAATACTGCCAACTTCATTTACCATTGTATTAAACTAAGAAAAGTAAACATACACATTTAAATGTTACATTTTTATTAAATTTACTTAAACATATCTTTCGTTGGTTTAAATGCAATGCAGTCACCATACAATCCACATGTTTGTTTATAAATCTGTTTCGTGTTTTTGTATTAAATTTATTTGACAGAATATTCTTTCACATGCTGAATCCACTCATATTTTTCTGACAGTAGACAGCCGGGGTGCCAATTTGTAGTCTGGATCACCTTTAGTTATGGAGATCCACGAAGAAAGTAAAGGATCTTGCTCCCACTCTGCTCTAACACCCTTTCATATTTTCGCTTCATCACCACCACATCGTCCACAATATATTATTAACGAGATGTATCACCATGAAATCTAATGCGATACCAAACTAAAGTATGTCTCTTCAATGACTGATTGAAATACTAACCAAAAACTCGTGTTTTATGACTACTCGTTTTAAGATTATCAACTTTACACACAAACTTTTAAAGTTGTTTATTGAATGTCATACAAACATAATACGGGAAGTACAGGCAAATGCCGCTGGTATCCATAATAGGGTTGAATTTTCGACATTTTAAATTGCTATAATGAAATCTATTTTTAAAACCCCAATACTGCCAAATACTGACAGGTTTTATAAAACGTCAATCGATCATGTCAGAGGCTAAAATAAGAGGCCAATCCTGCCAAAATGGCGAATCCTGTCACATATGGTCACACTGTATATCATAGATAGAATTCTTTATAACTGGCTTTACGGCTCTAGGTTCTAGCCCTTCTGAACCTGAAGTTACAATGTATAATTATCCTTCATAATACACCGCTTCACAATATGTTGATTTTGACAGCAACTTGTGATGTTTTTTTTAAATATCTACGTTTCGTCAGCTATCTAACGTGGTATAATAATCTAAGGTTTTATTCAAATACATTGAAAAAACTTTAGTTTCATAGGCGACAGTGGAGAAGAAAATTTATACTTAGCCCAAAAAAGTAAAATAAAACAATAGTTAAGCATGAAATGTCATTTATTAAAGGTGTCACACAACTTTTTCTTATTCTACAGTTCATGTTCAACATGGCCGCCTCTATTTCTGATACATTGACGCACCCTTCTACGGAGACCAGTCTTCACTACTCCAGTGGTCAACGTGGTCCTCATTTTATTTGCTGCATCCACAATCCTTTCTCTTAAGTCTTCCAGAGACGAAACTGGATTCGGCTCGCTGTACACAAGACTTTTCATGCACTCCCACACATGAAAATCCATGGGGGTTAGGTCCGGACTTCTTGCTGGCCATGGCAACGGCCCACCTCGTCCTATCCATTTGTTTGGATAGTTTGTGTCCAGCCAGTTCCTGACACTTCTCCTGAAATGGGCAGGGCAGCCATCGTATTGGAACCACATGTCCCTGATCAGTTTGAGTGGCAGATCATCCAGCAAATCACTCAAGTCTGCTCTCAGGAAATTTTCGTAGCTTTCCCCATCTAGATTATCCGGGAGAAAGTAAGGTCCAATCAAATGATTGGAGATAATGCCCATCCACACATTTACGCTGAATCTTCGTTGGGACCCCTTCACTCTTTTCTTATTGGGATTCCTTAGTTCTTTTGGGGCCCAGTAATGGGCGTTGTGATAGTTAGTTATGCCATCTTTATTAAATTTGGACTCATCCGTCCACAAGATATTTCTTAGAAAATCTGGGTCTTCTACGTCAGCATTGAGCAAAAATCTGCAAAAGTCCAATCTTCTGGCGGGGTCTCCTTCTTCAATAACGTGTACCGGCGTGTAATGGTACGGGTATAGGCCAAAAGTATGCACTGTAAACCACACTCTCCATTGAGAAAGTCCCAGATCACGGGCAACAATATTAGTGGAAGTAGTCGGATCCGCTCGAAAGCGTTGCACTATGTCATTGTCCTGTTCTTCGTCGTTAATTGGTGGTCTTCCCATGTCTGTATTTTGTCTCAAAACAGAGCCAGTTTCTCGAAGTCTTCGATAAACTCTGTCAAAAACGGCCACATTCGGCACTCGACGACCGGGGTAGCGAGTTATGTATTCGTTGCGAGCTTGCGCAGACGCACAATCGCAGTATCCGTAACAAATAAGCATATCAGCATATTCCTCAGGTGTGTAGAACGTCATCTTCAACACTTCCGTATCACAGGTACAAATCAGAGTCCGGTTAACAAGCACAGTAGTCACAAATCAGAAGAAAAAGTCCAGAATAACAGCCAAGTTGAGAAAAAGAGCAAAACGATATCGCATCTACTATGTACGAAGCACAAAAGCAGACTGACAACCAAACAATACCCCCTGTTGTATTCCCAGCCCTAACCGGTCTCTACACATTTTTTCTTTCATTCGTACCTACATAAATCGTCACTTGTCTCGCTCGCTTGGTGCGTCTTAACTTGAAGAACAATAGGCGCGGGACCGTTAGAACTGCTACCTGGAGCGTCCCAACTACTTTTTTCCACGAAATGTAATACAAACCCTAGATTGTTTTATCACGTTAGATAGCTGATGAAACGTAGATATTTAAAAAAACATCTGCCGAACAATTGCCATAACATTGTTTTTAGATATCCCTTAGAGAAAAATAAAGTTTCTAATATATTTTTTTATTTCTTTACTTTCACTTGTCTACTACGGTCTATTCAATTAACTTATGCACTATTTTGATGATTGAAGTCCTAAAACATTTTATTACACATGTAAAATGCAATAATAATAATACTAAGATAGAAAAAATAAACAAAAATAAATGTAGTAGCCTAAAAATCGGCAATTTTCAATAAAAAAATTAAAAGTCGAATATCTCGAAAAGGGTTAAGTTTAGGATAGGGTGTTTCATAGTGAAAGAAGTCAGAAATGATGGGTACTCCACGCCCTTTACGGATCTAGCACAATTTTTTTCTTGTAACCCTGTATAACCACTACTATGTAGTACTATTATTTATTCTGTGCCACTACGTTTAAGAGGCGGCACTTCCTTAATAAAAGTAATGTATGAAAGTGCGCTAAGCATCTCTATCAACATAAATGGCATGTTTAGATAATAGATATTCGCCGAGCACAGACGAGTAGGCACGAATACGAGGATGTAAATACCTTGTTGGGGTGATCTCGTTACTCGGCCCGAGTATTCGCCTGTTGCCCACTCGATGTCGGTTTTTTGGCAGGAGCAACAGGAATGCTCGTCTGTATTCGTATCGATGTTTACATACTCGTCATTATTCGCTTAACCCGTGAACTTTAAACTTATAATTTGAAAAATAATAAAAACCTACCAACTCTGATGGATCGGAATGACTAATCCACTATTTTTATAGAACTTTATCATGGAGAAACTGTGACATGGGGCCTAGAAATCAGTTCTAAGCATAGATATAGCATACAATAGATTGACGATAGAGTATAGAGTGATTAGGGTGAGACCAAAAACGTAATGTACCAGTGTGAGTGAAATGTGCATGTTACGGCCTACGGCTGCTCCCATAAAGGTCAAATCCTCCGGGGCCCATTCAGCAGAGTTTCAATGAGCAGACGTAGGTCGGGCCTCCTAAGGCCAAAGTGGAAAGTCTCTAATTACACTAAACAATAAGGGGGAGCGTTATATACTACGGCCATTCAACAGGGAGAATATTAGACGGAGCTTACTTACCTATATCCAAGTCGGCTGGTCCCTCCGGATTCGGTCAGGTCGCATGTGGTTGTGTGGTGCAAGGGAAATAAGGTGATGTGATGTGTATCTGGGTGTGACTGATGGTGATTGACCTTAATAGACCTTTGCCGTCGGCAGCAGTCCGGACGTCAGCACCGCTCCAAATTGAGGTAATCTTCCGCGGCGCCGTCCACAGTCACCTTCTTCGTCCGTCGCGATGTCAGTTCATTAACTCTATCGTACTATTAACTAACTTACAGAAGCCACTAACACTCGTTTGTTATAAAGCTTAACACACAAACGAACAGGGAGTGTCCGGATCAAAGGTCACTACCGCTTCGCGTAGCAACAGTTATTTCTAGAATATCAAAGGCCGCATTAGCTAATATTGTAGAATGCACTTATACCGACTCTGAGTCAGACACCATGACTCCCGGGGAAGCTCTCCAGCAAGGAATGCGCGTTACAAAATCCTAGACAGCATATTTACTAGCCGCGCCTAATTATTCCGAGTTCCCGAACAAAAATTGACAGCGTGCCGGCAATAGCACAGCTGGCAGACGACTCCGCGCTCGCGCGTTCTACGCACGACCGAAAGTCAAACCGGTATGGCACCGGCACCGGCACTCTGACGTCGATTCCGAAAACAGCGTTTGGCGCGAACAGTGCATGTGTGCGAGACGAATAATACTGCGTCATCATCAAGTTCAATTATCGATGCAGAGCGCTGTGTCCGTGTCATAAAACTAATATTTTTATGTTTGAGGGCATAAAAATACTTATAACAAAAAGTTTTTGATTTTTATTTTCCACAAACAATAATTAATCTATTGAAAAATGTTGTAAGCTCTCCTTAGAGGTATTTTGCAATTTTGCTTCATACTTCAATCTAATAATCATATAAGTTTCGATTATTAATTTAATAATTAATTGTTTATGGTTTGGTATTGCTGGCGAATCATACATATGTACGTTAAGTATGTTAAAAAATGTTTGCAGGACACAAAGTATTCGTTTACTAATTTTCGAAATGTATTTTCGTTTACAAGTTTTCCTATTGGAAAACTCATTTAGAATGAATACCTTTCTCGTCAACATCTGGAGAGGGATAAACAAAAATAAACAGCAGTGCTTACACTGCCGCGTTCCGACCTGTTGCATTTTATCTTAGTCCTCAGGGGTGGAAACCCAATTGTAGCTTTCTTTCTTTGAAGCCAACTATAGGTGACTATGAATTGCAGTAGCCATTTACAATCAAGTGATACTGTATGTTCCTTTGTTACTTTCGTTTTATAAAATATATACATCACAAGGATGACGACAACAAGTTGTACACATTTGAACATGCGCAAACGAAATTAAGATATGTACAGTTAAATATATTATAAGGTACTACGCACGGACATAAATAACTTGGGTATTGAACTAGAACGCAGCTTTACTCTTTGTGCACTTCTATGAAAAAACATTTTTGTTAAAAGTGCTTGCCACATATTATTGAATATTTTTTGGGAACCCAGTTTCCTCATTTTTAACCATTTTTGTTTAACCATGTGGCGGGTTGAAGGAAAAGGGGAGATCTCCCGCCGGGCAAGGTGTTCTACCCGGGGAGCGACCAACGCTCCGAGTGGTAATTTGGAGCTATTCTATATATACTGTTTTAACTTTGGAACTTTGTTAGCGTGATTTAGGCTTCGATGTGTTTCGCTTGTGGTGCGACGACAGCGCCGCCACATCAGCCCCCTGATCAGACCAGAGGTCGATAGTGCAGTCCAGATGTTGACTAATTTGCAAGTACTAGGGAATTGTCTTGTAAGTCTGCGGTGAGTCGAGAAGAAGGCAAGTAATCTGCGAGAGTGCCGTGAAGCAGAGGCGAGCAGTAAGGCTCAGAGCCATGCCGAACACTGAAGCGTAGTGAGTAGCTTGAAGGAACAGAAAGCATTATTATTCCAGTGCTGCGATGAACATTTGTAAAGCTAGATGGCTTGCAGAATGTGAAGACTGCAGACACTATCAGCTCGGGAGTGAATGAATGGGGTACTTGAGAATGATGAAGGTTTGAAGGTGTAGTTTCCGAAGGTCTGTTGGTTGCGTGTTCATATCACGTCAGAAGGTCACCACTGTGGCGGGTGGAGGGAAAAGGGGAGAGCTCCCGCCGGGAAAGGTGTTCTGCCCGGGGAGCGGCCAACACTCCAAGTGGTTGTTCGGAGCTATTCTATATATACTGTTTTAACTTCGGAACTTTGTTAGCGCGATTTAGGCTTCGATGTGTTTCGCTTGTGGCGCGACGACAGCGCCGCCACAATCTCAATAATTTTTGGAAATCTTAAACATTATAAGAGTTAAAATTATCTCAATAATGTATTTACTATAATGGCATTTGGCTAGAAAACCCTAAAAATTTAAAATAGTAATTTAAAAAATTACGAAGTTAGAAGAGGCTGCATCCAAAGATATGCCGTTGCCTGTATAATAAACATATTATCGATAAGATGATATTGATAGTGTCAATCTCTACAAAAAAAAAATTAGGTGAGTTTTGGCGGGAATTTGACCGGCGGCTGCTTGCTGCTCCTGTATTATTGTTTAAATAATGGTTTGAAGTGGACTTTGATATGTAAAAGTGGTGCGATTTTGTGTATTAAGTGTCTGCGCATGTGAACTATTAGTAGAAACTGTGAAACAAGTGCTCTGATGGTGATGGATTCTCAAGATAAGCTGTTTGTTTGCATAGGCGCCTTTAGATACCATCGCCAACTGTCAGCTGCCTGTTGGCTCAAGTTGCCGTCTAAATCTCCCAAGGGCTGCACAATGTGACGCATCAACATATTGTAAAGCAGTGAACTATGAAGGATAATTATACATGAAGACGAGGCTGTATAGCATAGTTCCTTTGCCTGCTGTCTCGAGCGAATAATAAGAACAACAACAACTACAAAAATTAGATCAGAAATAGCGGGAATTCAAGTATTTGTTATTATTTTTCTCAGATGAAGTAAAAAATTTTTTTACTTAATCTGAGTTATTTTTATTATAATTCATTTAGATCATTACCGTAATAAAATGCGATATTTTTCCCTATCCATTTGTGTATAAAACATTTGTACCAGTTATAAAACATTGCATTTAGAGTGCTAAATATTGTAACTGAACTTACACATGAAATGTTTAATCTTGTGGATTTTCTTTTTTTCTTGCATTCTAAGCTATTTAAATTATCTTTGCTAGAGATTACCTCTATTGTCTTATTATCTAATTTAAATTACTTGGAACTGGTTCCAAATCAAATGTAAAATTATTTTGTTGCTCAAAAGAAGCAAGTGTGTTAATCGTGTGGATTTTCTTTTCTTAATGAACTGCATTCAGGTACTGCACGTGTCACCATATTTAATAATACCTTTTAAACACTTAATAATACCTGAAAATTCAAGATATCATAAGGTGAATTAGTGTGCTGTAAATGTCTATCTTCGAATAA